TAATACCAATGGTGTTAAAATATCGGTTTAGGTGGCTACATTTTACACATTCAATTAAATGACTCATTTGACTTGCATTTAAATGGAGCGATCATTCGATGTCTTATAATTAACACCTGACCTGGTGTTCAACACCAGTGATAATGAATAGCATTTTTCTTTTGACAATCCACTTGCTACCGACTTTTCCAAGAATATTCAAACCGACGAAATTCCCAATTACCGACTAGTCGACTTTATAAAGTGCAAAAAACAACAATTAGTGAACCGAACAAGACAATAATGCTAGTTTCTACATTTGGTTCAGGATGTATCCGAAAATAAATAGTTACGTTTTAAAGTTTTTATTTATTTATCCTAAAAGAATTTTTATAATGTTACGAAGGATAAAAATTACTGGTAATCATTATCTCTTTATTATATATAAATATGTATCATATAATCACCTTTTGAAATAATGAATAAACCTTTGCATATTCACCTTCACAATTTTATATTTTCTTTTTGCAATAAAAATAAAAACAAAACCGATATTTGATATTCACCTGGCTCTGGAGCCGCCTCTCAAAGACTGAGCCGCTCTTATGTGCTCGAAGGTTATGCAAAAAGTCGAGCAACGGCTGAGATGCAACAGGCAAATCTTTAAGGGTTCCTGATTGATCCACGTGGTCACGTTCATCACCACTCAGGCTCCCGCGATGTATCTTATCATTTTCCTCCTTCGATCTACTCGCTGTGCTCTGCACGTCGGAACTTTCTCTCGCTGCTTCATCTCCCCCTCCCTTTGACTCGGCCTCCGAGTCCACCAACCCGACCGAGTCACTCGCCCGCTCAACCTTGACTTCCCGAACCGGATCTTTTTCTATACTATCTGAACTCCCGTTACATGATTCCTCTCGAACAGGTTTTCCCTCTCCGGTTCGATCGGAATCAGCCTTTAAATCTACCGGCTCTTCTCTTCCTTCCCCGGTTCGATCCCTTTTTCCCTGAAAATCTCCGGTTCTGTCCGGTTCTGATTCTTTATCACCGGTTCTTAGCTTCTCGCCGTCTAGATCTGTGGAATTTGATTCGTTTACCGACATATGATCCTTCTCCGATTCATTTCCGATGACCGGTTCTCCGGCCATGGATTGAGGCCATGCATTCTCATCCGGTTCTACCTCGTCGTCCTTTCTCTTCTCTTCACCCTTCTTTTCTAGATCTGAGTTTTCATCACTGTTCTTCACGCTCCTCAAACTCCCTTCTCTCTCCTCTTCCATTCTCTTCATCTTCAACTCTAACGACCTGAACAACAAACATCAAATAAAAAAATCCTTGACTCTTCATTTCCACTAATCTTTACGCTCAGATCTCTAATATTTTAAACATATATTATTACTCATTAAATAAACAGTATATGTAATCAATCGTGAAATAGTACTCGATGTTTAGATCGTAACGTTGGACTTCACGCCGAAGCTCGGCAACCCGAAGTTTCCGGAGTTCCTCCAGCAACGGAACAGAGCCTTTGCTATTGTCGCCGTCAACGTTATCATCATTCAACAATTTATTATTGACGTTGTCGTTTTGGGTTAAATAACGCCGTTTCAGGTCTAGGTATTTCTGCTTGCAGTTTTGAGGGGTCAGTAGGGTTGGGGTAGGCTCGGAGCTCCGCTTCTGGAGTTCAGAGGCGACGGAGTCCCAACGGTCGGTGCCGTAGCGGTTGACGGCGAAGGCCAGGAGGAGCTCCTCCCAAGTGCCCCACCGGTGAGTCTCGTCGTCTCCCTCCGACTCCGGTTTGTCGAAATTGTTCGGTACGGTTCCCTCAAGTTTGGCCATGAGAGATTGAAGGGCTGGTGGTATGATACGGCGCGTACGGCTTTTAAGATTTAATTGATCAAATCCATTGCAATTTTTGTGTGTTATCAGAGGGCTAGGGTTGTGTTCCTCTCGTCAGTCAAACATATATAATTTCCCATATTCGCCATTTTTATTGCTTATATATTATTTGCTTGTAGTGTTTTTTGGGTTTGGTTTGTAGTCTTGTTTGATTTATATGCCGTGGTGGACTTGATTCTCAAGGGTTGGATCGTGGATGGCTGTTTTTGGGTTTTGTAATTACCCTATTATTAAACCAGGGATAAATTACATTGGTAGTCACCCAACTTTACATATTATGCATGTTGGTTACTTGACTTGAATTTTTTTCTATATTTAACTATTTTTACTTATAGCGTTACTGAAACTGACATAATCTCTGACCTATTGGATGGAATTACAAACAACATAATCTCTAACAAATCCGACATAATTTCAATATGTCTTACACGATTCGTTGGTTAATCGTTGGAATTTGTTTGTTTACATGTCATTGGCCACCATTGAAGAGTAAATTTAAAACTTGATTAGGTAACCCGAGCCTTTAGCAAATGTCTAGAGTGTAGACATGTAGTACCTTAAAAAGCCATTTTTATTGGGCCCAATTGGGTACATTTCTTGCAAAAGTCTCGAGATTTATTGGGAATGGAGATGGTTTGATTCAATCTGATTTCAAAAAACAAATTAATTCAAGAAATTAATAGGTATCTTGTAAATGAAACTGACGAGTTCAACTTTAATTATAGAACCAAATTAAAACCTTCAAGTTCTCGTAATTATATTTCAACATCTAAAGCAATCTAACAAATAATAGGTTTCTATCTTGATACAATTTCACTAACATAGTCCAAATTCTAAAACATACAAACAAATTATTTTAGTGAAATTCATTCACCACCATAGGCGAATTTCATTTACATCCGATTGATTCATTCATCAATGTACAAGAATCACCAACGTACACTACTAGACAATGAAGTCAAGTGATGCGCATCTAGAAATTTCAAAAATAGAATTGGGCCAGGACCAGGGTCAGGGTTAGATTTTTTAAAGAAAAAATGATATATTTTGAGAATTTTGATCATCAAAAAAGTAAAGAAGAAGAAAATAAACAAATGGCATGTTCAATTTTTTTATTTTTTACTATTTTTGCTCCTAAGCCCGCTCTCGTCGATTCTCTAACATAGTTCTCATTACACAATCTAACTTTAGAAGAATCAAGCTGAAACTCTTGGATTCGGTTTGTTTGATCCTAAACTTTTGTCCACCCCTAGGGTTATAGTGTTGACCAGAATGGTTAATACGATATAAACATATAAGAATAGTTCTAAAATTGAAATGAGTTGAAATTATGTGACTAGAATGAAATAAAACTATAAGTTGGATGCCCTTTGGTAAAACTTTTCCAAATTCAAGAGTTTATACGGGTGGTTACGCTAGGGTTGCTAAGGATGACAAAATACCCCATTTAGTCATGTGGAGACGGAGGAACATGGTTTTGTTGCGCATTAATTCGAACAGTTCCAAATATTTTTATTTTATTTTTACGTTTTAAATTTATTGTTATTGAAAATAAAAAATAATATTAAGAAGAATAAATGAATTATCATGAGACGAATAACGAACAATATTTTAATCACAGTTATGCCACAACTTTTAAGGATATTTAGCACAAAATTTTTTTACCTTTCAATGTTATTATGTAAAAGGACAATTGGCACAAAACGTCCCTACTTTTCAAGCTAATTGTAGAAAACGTCCCTTTCTTTTATTTTTTGACATTTTTGCCCTTATTTCAACATTTCGTTGCGCTGAAAGTTATTTTCACTGTTTTGAAACGTAAAATAATAATTATACCCTTTTATTTAAAACCAAAAAAGAGAGAGAAATTAAGAAAGAATTGCAATCCTATCCCTAAACTTTTAAAAAAGTGCAAATGAGTCTCCAATACTCCCTCAATCCATGACAACTAAGATTTTAGAACCACCACTTATGGACAACCAAAACTCCACCCTCCGACCACCTTAGGCACGGGACCAACATACCAACTTGAAACCCACACTTCCCTCTTCGTAACCCACCCAAGATCCAGCCATATTCCAATCAATTTGGCTGAAAATTCAAGCCAAAATAGGTTACCCACGCAACAAACAGTGGCCGGAATCTTCACTTCCGGTGACACCCATGCCCTACACAACCGCCATTTTAGCTGGACTAACATACCACCTTAAAGCCCTCATTTTCCTCTTCCCAGCCAACTCAAGATCCGACCATAACTCCAATCAATTTGCCTGAATATTCAAGCCAAAATAGGTTACTCAAGCAACAAACGATGGCTGGAATCTTCTCTTCCGGCAACACTCATGCCCTACACAACCTCCAGATCGATTCTATACACTAATATGTCCCTGTCCATGGTCCTCAAACATCCTTTAATGCACACAATCAAACCCAGCCGGTTGAGCTCTGAACATAGTTGTTGGTTATTTTTTTTACGTCGGTAGTGGGATCCATGATCGCGAACCACCACCTGAGGTACCTACACCTCATGGCGCATCCAACGAGCATATGAATCTTCCCCATTGTCGCCTAAACATGGTTATTCATTTAGAAACCGAGAAATGAAAACTAACCTACGCGAAGGAGAATTTGTACCATTATAATGAAATTAATGGAAGCCCATTGGGTGGTATGTATAGAAGGGAGAAAGAGCTTTCCGATGGTATGGAGATCCGGTGGTTGACCGAAATTTTTTGGCTTGAAAAGTGGCAGTGGAGGGAGGAGGAAGAGGAGAAAGAGTTTTTTTTTTTTTTGTTATTTTCAATATTTTAAGTATTGGGAACTCATTTGCACTTTTTTTAAAGTTTAGGGGTAGGGTTACAATTTGTTCTGAATTTTTCTCTCTTTTTTTTTTTTTTAAATAAGAGGGTATAATTGTCATTTTATGTTTTAAAACAGTGAAAAGGACCTTCAGCGCAACGAAATGTTGAATAAGGGCAAAAATACCAGCAAATGAAAGGTAGAAACATTTTTCACAATAAATTTGAAATGTAGGGATGTTTTGTGTCAATTACCCTTATGTAAAACATCATTACCTTTCATTTTTTGACATTTTCACCATTGTTTCACCTTTCATTGAGTTAAAGGTCATTTTCAACCAATTTCTCGATTTTAAAAAATGTAAAATGATTAATATACCCTCCTATTTAAATAAAAGGAAAAAGAAAAACCTTAAAGAACAAATTGCAATTATACTCCAAAACTTTTTTAAAAAATTACAAATAAATCCAAATGAATTATTAAAAGGATAATCAGCACAAAACGTTCCTAACTTTCAAGATTATTATGCAAAACGTCCCTACATTTCATTTTTTCCTTATTTTCATAATCTATCTCGAAAATTATCATTTTCATCTATTTTCTCAATTAAAAGCTGAAAAATGACGAATATACTCTCCTATCTAAATAAAACGAAAATAAAGAATAAATTGCAACTATACTCCTAAAGGTACAAATAAATAATTAAAAAAGAAATATATATTTTTTTAAATTTTTTTTGTTTTTAATTATTTGTTTAAAATTTATTTATTCTTTTTTGAAAAATTTTGGAGTGTAAATACAATCTGTTCTTTATTTTTCTTTTTATTTTAATACAACGGTATATTAGTCATTTTATTCATTTTTTTGAAAAATGAGTAAAAATGATAATTTTCCAATGAAATGTGAGAATGGGGGTAGAAATGCAAAAAATGAAGGACAGAGACGGTTTGCATAATAATATTAAAATGTACGGACATTTTGTACCAATTATCCATTTAATAATTATTTGGATTTATTAGCAGTTTTTTAAAAAGTTTTGAAGTATAATTGTAATTTTTTTTTAAAAATTTTTTTTTGTTTAAATCGGATTGCATATTTGTCATTTTACAATTTTTATTGAGAAATTGGATGAAAATTACATTTTCCACAATGAAATGGGAAAAAAGGAGTGAAAATGCTGAAAAATGAAAGGCAATGATATTTTGCACAATATCAATATCATTGTAAGATAATGACGTTTTGTACTATTTACCCCACTTTTAAATATTTTCAACAAGTAAGAGTGGAGTAGGTATGTCTTGCTTAACCCTACATACACGACTTGAAATTGATTCAAAATAATCACAAAACAAATCCTTTCATGTACTTTAAGGATTGTGAAAATATCCAAATGTTTTTATTGGAGCTGGTTATGGACTTTGCTAACAAATAAAAAGTCGAAGAACTAAACACAATTTTTATTAATTAATTGATTAGTGTGTGTACAAAAAAAAAAAAAAAAAAAAAAAAATTTAGGGCATTTTTTTTTTTTTTTTTTATTTTTTTTTAGGGCATGTCCTCTTTGTTGTTTTCATGTCATTTTTAATTTTTGAAAACACTGAAAACGTGTTTACGTACCTATTCTTATAGACAAATTATCAAAAACAAGTTTAAAATTTAAAACAAAAAAAAAAAAAAAAACACCAAAAAAGTCATTTTTGGTTTTGGCTGTTTTTAGTTAAACCAAGCCAAAAGTTCAAAAACGTGAAAAAAAGGCTAGTTTTGCCAATAGCAAGATGGTTTAGTTGGTTGAGTCACAAATTTTTTGAAGGTCATGAGCTCGATTCCGTTTCGCAGCAATTCAATACAAAGAAATTTTCTTTTTATATGCACAATACAAATTTTTCAAATAAATTAGTGGATGGTTGAGATTCGAACCTAAATTACCAGCATGGAATTCAATGTCTTAACCACAATGGTTACAATTATTATTTTTCTTACAAGTAAAAGAACTATATATTGGATAATCAAATTTTCATTTTTTTAAAATTAGAAAGTAGACGTGTTTTTCATTTTTTTTTTTAATTTTTGAAAACAATTTTTCAAAATGACAAATCGTTTTCAGCAATCTCAAAAATAGACACTCGTAACACAAAATTCAAAATGAATTCAAAACTCAAAACTAAAACACAAATAGAACAACCACTAACTTTTATCAGTGACCCGTTTGTCCATATTAGTGAATCATTGTTATTAGACAATATTTTGTATGAGGCATGAAACTTGATGTTTGTGTATTCAAATTATGAATATGTTTTGTTTATTGGTTTGGATTTTTGAGAATGAATTTTATTAAACGATATTTCATTTGATTATTGATAATTTGAAATTGAATTTGTTGAATGTTTGATGATCTTTTTTTTTTTTTCCTTTTTTTTTTTTTTTTTTTTTTTTTTGTTTCTTTTTTTTTTTTTTTTTTTTAATTTTAGGCATAGGTTTATAACTTATGGATAGAGTGATAGATTCCAATTTTTATTTATCATTTGAAAATTTAAGTAATATAACCAAAACCAAACTAACTTAGAATCGAATGATTCGGTTTCGATTTGGTTCCATATCTGTGAAAAAATTCATTGATTCATGGTTCGATTCTCTTTTGAAATCATAATCATATGGAACAATGTCCACCCCTAGTCATAACCCAAAAAATAGAACCTTTAACCTGATGACAGGGCCTACCTTCATCCAAAGTCAACTAAGCGATGACTTAGGGCCTTAACTGTAAAAGAGGCCTCTGATTGAAAAACACAACATGATAGAGGCCCGATAATTACTATTGTAATTTTTTTTGGTTGACTCTAATTAAGTTCAATCTTAATCAAAATAAATTTTTCTCGAGTTTGTTATACACAATTAATTACGAGCTATCAAATGAGTTCAATTTTACTATGACAGTATGGTGTAATTTGAAAACTAATATTATGAATTAAATAGTTTACTTTAATGATTATAACTTGAATTTGGCTATATCCAAATTAACTTTTTCTCGAATTCATATTGTGTCATTTATTACTAGTTTAAAAATTAGTCTAATATTGATTGGTAATTTTCGATCCTCCAATGAATACACATTGGTCTAAATACATTATTGGCCTTGAAACTTTGTTGACATTGTCCTTGTTGTAAACAAATAATTGATTGAAAAAATATTTTTTTAACTGTCAAATCACAATTTATTACGTGACAAAGTGTAAACCATGGTGTACCACCAAACACGGTTGTTAATTTTGTACCACTTATGTTTTTTGTGTACAGAAACCACCAATTTAAAAGTTAAAAAGTTTTAAACTTCATTACTACCTTAGAAGACGAGGGAAAAAGAAAAATGTTGGAGTGACCGAAAAATTTCTGCCAGAAGGGGTGACAATCACTCATATGCTGTGGGTCCCGCAGAAATAAAAAAATATTTTTTCTTCCTTTTATGTCATGGCATCTGTCAGGCCCTATGTTATTGTAGAAAATCTCGAGGAAAAATGGGTTGGACGGGGATGGCTGGTGTAAAAATGTAAGTGGTGTATGTAGTCCCTGTTAGAATCTTACTTAAAAAAAGAAAAAAAAAATGATTTTTTAGATTCTATGGTTTTAAAATGGAAATTTTTTAACGAGCAAAATTATTATTTTAAAAGAATGTGTAATTGAAAATGCGTTAAAAAAATGAGTTATAAATAATGGAATTCAAACAAGGGTTCAATGTAAATTTCTAAGTCGAAAAATTTAGACAATATGGGCTTCTAAGTCTTTGTTTGGTACAGATTTTTAAAAAATATTTTTTTAAGCACGTGTTTTCTAATAAAATAATTTTTCGCTTGGATACCCATAAATTTTTCCTAATTTTTAATCACAAGTTTTTCAAAAAAAATCACTTTTCGCAATAAACCTGAATTTTTTAAGTATATTATATAGACTTCTATAGACAATAAAAAATTATTTGAAAGTCATCATCAAATGTTGTATTCCAAACCTTTTAAAGTTACAAAAAGGTCAGTGTATTCAAAAATTTCAATGACTTTCGATGATTTTTTTATAAAATACACCAGGTATAAATTTTTAGGCGCAATTTATAAATAAATAAATAAATTAATTAATTAATTAATTCACAATTTGTCCCTCGTTCATTCCATACTTCTAGTCTTTGAAAGACTTTTGAGAAATAAAAAGTTGTTCAAATCTGTGATTTTTTTTTTTCCCTTTTGTCAATATGCTATTTCATCTTTATGTAACACGAGGTTAATTTAATTAGGGAAAAATTGATTCGATAGTTCACCGAACTTATATATCTTGAACGTTGGTTACTCGACTTAATTTTTTCTTATATTTGACTATTATGTCGTAGACCGTTCCTGAAACTAACATAATCATAACATGTCCGAACAAAATTACTAAACTAATATAATCGCCGACGTGTTCGACAAAGTTCTTTAGTTGGCTAATGAAGTTTGTTTTGTTTACATGTAATTAGTCACCATAAAAGAGTAAAATAAACTTGATTTGGGAAAGTGATGTTTTAGCAAATATCTACTACGTTATGACGTTACACTTCACAACGCCGTTTGATTCAGACTCAATTGAATACAATTTTTTTAATTTTTGGCAAATATGAGGGTAGCAGACTTGTGCTTGCGATCCTAGTCACGAGATCCACAACACTGGATAGAATGGCTGATTTGAAAAAAAAAAAAA